GAGGGAGGAGGGGGAGGGGGAGGAGGAGGAATTCATGCTAGATCTATGGCTACCTCTTTCATCGCCAAAGTGATGAAAAAAGCAAACCAGAGCTGTGAGACCACTCAGACCAAAGGCCTTGTCCCTGCAGAGTCCCAGCTCCGCCCCAGGGACGATGACAGTGACCTTCAGGATGAAGCCGCCACCCTCCCAGGCCTTCTCCCAGGACCTGCCCTGCCGCTTCAGCGTCTCCCGGCTTGGGCAGCCGCGCCCCGCCCAGGAATTCACCACTCACTGGCACCTCAGTTGCTGGCGGCTGCAGCTCGTCCAGGCTCTCAGGTGTTCACTCCGCAGCCAGAGCCCTGCCAGAGGCCACCGCTGCGGGTACCAGATAGGATCACGGCGGCGCTGACTCACCAGAGCCACCTGAACCCCCTGGACCGCTGGCCCACCCGAGACCACATGGAGGCGCAGGGACACGAAGACCCGGGGGGCGCGCTGCGGGAACTGGTGAGTGGGGACCCCGCCCCCCTCACCTCCCTCCTGGCCCTCCCGGTGCTTCACCCCTTCCCGGGCCAGAGATGGGGGTGGGGACGTGCGGGTGCCCTGCTGTAGGGGTCAGCCCGGCAGTGCCCCCACCCACACTCCTGCTGGCAGAGACCAGGAAGCACATTTAAGCAGCGGTTCTCAACCTGTGGGTCACGACCCCTTTGGCGGTGGAACGACCCTTTCACAGGGGTCGCCTAAGACCATCCTGCATATCAGATATTTACATTATGATTCATGACAGTATCGACACTACAGTTATGAAGTAGCAACGAAAATAATTTCATGGTTGGGTCGCAATATGAGGAACTGTAGTTAAAGGGCCAGAAGGTTGAGAACCACTGATTAAAGGCTGATGCCTACGTCTTGTTAAAAAGAATTTGTCAGATGTTGGTACTTAAACCTTTTTCCCCAGGAAGGCAAAACCCACTCAAGGAAGGAAACAGCTGCTGGCAGCTGGCAGCAGTCTTCACACAGAAATGCAGGTTCTAGATTGCAGGTTCCTGATAGATCCTCCCTTCCCCCAACTGGTGGGCGGGGTATGACATAACCTGCAGCCCAGAAATACCTGAGTGACTAACCAGGTACCTTATATGGACTATACATTGGACCACCAATCCACACCTGCCAAATACCCTAAGCCCTTGTCCTATATGGACAATGCAGTAAGCCACCAATCAGTGTACACTAAGCCCCCCACCCCTTCCCATTCTGCCCCTCAAAAGGCGTGCCCACCCCTGCACATGTTGCTGTCTTCCCCTTGTGAGGCAGCCGGGCAGGTGTTTCTCCTCTAATAAAGCCTGTAGTCCTGGTTTTAGGCCTCCATCTGATCTTTCAGTTCCCTACTCTGTGGAGATAATCCTTGAGATTTCATTTGCAAAGTATGAAGCAACATGTAAAGGTGGCCTGCCTTCCTGGCAGTGGTGGCATTTCTGTGAGACATTCCTGCCATGCTGATCCCAGCTAATGACCCCTAGGAAGGGGGCAGAGGCCGCCTGTGTCCAGGCTGTCAGCTCCTGTGAGAAGGCTCTGAGGAGCCCAAGGTGACTAAGGTGTTGCCTGTTGTCTTCCGGACATTGTAGTCCTGGTGCTCACGTGTAGGTGTAGAATCCTGTTGGGTGAGTTTCTGTGTGTGGTGTGAGGTAGGGGCTGGCCTGTTTAGTCATTTATGTATTTGGTCCTCAATATCCCTCACTACTAGTTGAGAAGACTTTCCTTGTCAAAAATCAACTATATATGTGGGTGATTCTAGTCCATGATGCTTAAAATGCCCCATATCAAGAGTAAATGTTATATATATTCAGTTGTCCTATGGTTTATTTTTTCAGGCAGAAAATCTATTTCAGGAACTTCAAGAACATTTTCAAGCTCTGACTGCAACATTAAACCTCAGAAATATCCTTTTCCATCTTATAGCAAATACTGAGATGCTTTGAACTGTTAAATTACCATGGAATCTCTTTTTAGTGGAGATTTGTTGACCTCGGATTTCCTTGCATCCTGATATAATTACCAGGCAGGTAATTTCTTCCTGCTTGACCTGCAGAACAGGGCATTTTGTGTGGCAATAAAATACGTGGACACACTGCACATGACTCCCCAGCGGGCCAAGCCCTATAAAAATCGGCGGTCTGCTAGGTAATGTCGTACTCTACGCACTCAGAAACCGGCAGACAGAACACAGAAGGCCTCCGACATAGGGTGTTACACCTGGCTCCCCTATCTGTTTGGTTTGGTTTTATAACTTGAGCAGCTCACTATTTTGTTAAGACATGAATTCAAACACAATTAGAATAGAATGTTTGTTTCCAGTTGGAGCAAATTCAGACAAGGGTAACATCTGCCCTACTTGAGCTCCTTAAAAATTGTGCAAAGTATTTGCACATGGAACTTGCAATTTCTGATTCTGTAGCTGGGTTCCCACAGATGGGAAAAAATGATTCTTAGAGACATGATAAAGTTAAACTGAGTTAATGTCCATTATGTTTACATCCTCATTAGAGTTTAGTTAAGACATAGTTAAGCATACCAGAGTAACACACATCCCTGAGTCTGTGTCCTCGCAGGGGAGCCAAGTTTCAGAGCCGAGCTCACATTCAGAGGCTAGAGACATTCTACACAAACCTCAGGGAAGTCTCTGCACTGACCCCCAGATGTCTTACAAGTTGCCCGGCCAGGGTATGTGTCAGACCCCCAGCTGGGCTGCAGGTTGAAGCAGGGCTTTCTAGCCACAGGCTCTGGGCTCCTTAACATGGAACTGGGAGAAATGGGAAACCGCCTCCAGGACTTGCAGAGGAATGTGAATGCCTTAATGGTGCAAGCTGGGATCAACAATGCTATCAAAGAACAAATGGTAAGACCATTACTAGGAAACTAAATAAGTTTACTTCGTGCAGACCTTGTGATTGCTTTCATCTTGAGAAATGCAATCCCATATTTGGTCACTGGGAATTGCTGCCTCTGTACTAGATGAGAAACCTTCAGGAAGAACAAGCCTTGTACAAATGCTCCTTTCTAAATAGACCCACTTAAACACTCTGTCATACTTCCTTTAAAAGTGTACATTTTAAATGAAATACTTTATTATTTAAAAATTGAACTTAAAAAATTTTAAATATAATAAATCTTGGATTTTACTCAAGTACCTATTGGCCCTCACCCCTCAGATTAATCTTTAGTCAAAACACAAATCATGATGATTTAGACATTGGAGATTATAACTACCAGTTTCTGTTTGAAACCACATATTCATGGAACCATTTAAAGAAGAAATGTTGCGGCTCAGTGGATAGAGCATTGGCCTGTGGACTGAAAGGTCCCGGGTTTGATTCCGGTCAAGGGCATGTACCTGGGTTGCGGGCACATCCCCAGTAGGAGATGTGCAAGAGGCAGCTGATCAATGTTTCTCTCTCATCGATGTTTCTAACTCTCTCTCTCCCTTCCTCTCTGTAAAAAATCAATAAAATATATTAAAAAAAAAAAATGTTGCATTAAGCCCTCAACCCATTGCCAGAGTCTGGAGGATCCCACCCAGCCCCACCATGCAAACATTCTTTTCCAGTAGAATTTTGCACTGAATCTTGAGATGCAAATAAATGCTTAGCTTCAGATCTCAGACTGAATTTATGTCCATGTGATGTATGTGGAGATGCACTTTATTAAGATATGTATGCATTTTCTACTGACATACTATTCTGACTATATGAACATATTTTAATAATTAGATACCTTCGTTTTTCTTGTTTTCCCATTTCTTTGACAATTGTCATCCTAAGTCATCTGGCAAATTATCTGTAGCTATCCTGCTAAATCAGAGCTAGTTCATTTATCCTATCTACATCTGGAATTCCAGTAGAAAGATGGCTGTCCCATGTCCTGCTACTCACAAGCACTCCTCTGAAATTCTGCCTGTAGGGTGAAAATACACCTTTCCCTATTAAGGTTGCATCAGACAGGGCCACCTGCCCAGCAGTCCTGTCTAGGCCTACTGGACACTAAGCCCTCCACTTCTGAGGGCTAACTGGTGATAAGCCAGTGCCTGAAAGAAGGGACCAGTGAGCCCATTTCTGCAGGATCCTGAGTTGGCACACTGCCAGGCACAGGATGGCTGTTTGAGAACTTTGACCCTTCCCTTCATCACCTGCACTCCAGCAGGGTTTTAAATTTGGTCAAACCCACTAAATATGAGGCATCAAATTAAATGATTAAGTATCAAGACTTCACTCATTGATGAGAGAGAGAAACATTGATCAGTTGCCTCCCAAAGGTGTCTGGGCCGGGGATCAAACCTGTAACCTAGGTATGTGCCCTGACTAGGAATTAAACCCACCACCTTTCAGTATATGGGACAATGTTCCAACCAACTGAGCCACACTGACCAGGGCAAGACTTCATCTTTTGATGCACATATAGTCATCATTTAAAGCAGCACAAGAGGCCAGGTATCTAAATGTTTGTTCAAAACTGTTAATGTTTTTTACATTAAAAGAAAGACCGAAATAAGTTGTAATCTGCTTGGCTAAATCTGTGCTTGTTGGTGGCACTAGGTCAGGCATCGTGTCATGGGTTTCAGTGGATTCTGCAAACCCCCTAAACTTAAGTTCCTGTTGGGGGTGGGTGGTGACTGGGAGGAGAGTCCATGACGCAAAATGTTAAATACTGTTCTGTATTCTAAAAGATCTGGCTCTTTGTCCCTTTTCACAGTAAATGTAACACTTTTCCCATGTTTACTTCAACACAGACAGGAGTGAGCTCTCTGGACACGTGTGACCCGGGTGATGGAATGTCAATGCTAATTGATGCGAAGCACACTGTTCACTCACCTTGATGGTGAGTCCACCTTGACTCCATCTGACTAAAATGAAAGTCACTTAACATTATGTATTTCTATAAACTGAATTTTTCCTATACAAATGTTCTGGTAATTACAGGTACATTCACTGAAAACTTAGATTCCAGTTTTTTTTAACTGTACATTAAATTCATATATAAGTAAATCTTACCTCTTTCCAATCTTTTTTCTTACACCTGCACTTACACTTGAAAATGTGATCAAATGAAAACTGTGCTTTTTGAGTTATAATCTACATAACTTGAGTTCTGATTTTCGTAGTTAAAAAATCATTTTGGTAACATTAGAAATTAAAAAAAACACAGGCAATGTGATAAGAATGTAATTCCAAAGATAACTGACACTTAACAAAAGATGTTTGCTGCCTGGCCCGTGTGGCTCGGTGGTTGAGCATCGACCCATGAACCAGATCACAGTTCTATTCCCAGTCAGGGCACATGCCCAGGTTTCCAAGCTTGATCCCTAAGAGGAGGCATGCAGGAGGCAGCCGATCATTGATTCTCTCTCATCGGTGCTTCTTTCTATCCCTGTCCCTTCCTCTCTCTAAAATCGATAAAAACATTATTTTTTAAAGTGTATAATTCGTTGATTTTTAAATACATTTACTAAGTTGTACAACCTCACCACAATCTAATATTAGAACATTTCTAGCACCCACCCACCCCAAACCTATCTGTTTGCAGTCCGAAAGATGTTTGCTGAATGGCAGAATGTCTCCCTCCATCCACACCATTTTGTAAATCACACAAGAAAAGCATAAGCTGTGATTCAATTTTTTTTCTGAATTAAATTCTAAATAGATCATTTTTTTTTAAAGATCATAAGCAGTTTTCTAGTGTAAGTTGCTTTCTATATATGTTTTTTAATTGATTTTTTTTTTTTTTTTTTTTTTTTTTTTAGAGAGAGAGGAAGAGACAGGGAGAGATAGAAACATTGCTAAGAGAGAAACATCAACATCGACTGGCTGCCTCTTGCATGCCACCCACTGGGGATTGAGCCTGCAACCTGGGCATATGCCCTGACCAGGAATCGAACCAGTGATCTCTTTGGTGCATGGGTTGATACTCAACCACTGAGCAGACCAGCTGAGCAGAAGTTGCTTTTTAAATGGCTGCATCACTTTGTTACCAGAAAATCAGTGGGCCAGATTTCCCAGACACTAGTGGGCATGAGATTCTTGGGGTACCGCTGAAATAGCATTTTCAGAAGTCCCCATGGGAGAATGAGATGTGGTAAAAAGCTGTGTTTGGAATTACTTTCCTTGTGTTGTAAAGTCTCATGTCCCTTAACCTAATTCTGAAAAAGGTACAGCTGGGAGTTCAGCAAAACCAAGAGCAAGGCCAGTGTCCCAAGCTTCACATCCATGTTGCAGCTGGGTCCAGTTCAGCATCAGGCTAAAGTCCATCAGTCCATTGTGTGGAGCCCACAGTGCTATGAGGCACATGGGTGAACGCAGGGGAACGTGCCCCCTGCAATGAGAGAGGCAGGAGCGCAGGCATGCAGAAGAGGCAAGGGCCAAGAGAGGGAACTTCTTTTGTTCAGAAGTTTAAATATTCAGGTTTCATGCCCTTGTAGTGGCCACACCTATTCTGGCCACTAATTTGTTCTCAGGTGTGACTGACAGACACCTTCCCAAGTCACTCAGACTTAACTGGGCATGCGTGTAAACTGCCTTTGTCCATTTCCTTCCCCCATCAATCGGTGGGGAACAGACTTGGAGAGTGTTAAATTAACAAAGCTGTGTAAATGGCATGCCTATATTATCTAGTCTTTCCTTTACTTCTTTCCTATTAAGTAATAACCAGGTTATTACAATGGTATCAAGTCACCATTTCCAGTCACAGTGTTTATGGAAGACTAATGTTAATCTGTCTAGTCCAGACAGGCCCTGATAGCAACACTCTCCAAACCAAACTAATTTAAACCAAGAAGGCAGGTGAACCAGAAGCACTGCTGACTCCCGAGGTAACCCTCACCTCTCACCCCACTGGAGGCAGTTAGCAATTAGATCTTTGTAGGTTATGGAGAAACGCTTTCAAATAATTATCCAATTCCCTTTTTTCTGAGCCAGAGTAAAATAAACATGATCGCCCCCAAAAGGGGTCAGTTGTAGGCTCTATTGTAAAAAATAACACTATTCCTGCATATAAAATAAATCATAGTCTTCATTTAAAAGTCAGAATCAACTACAGTTGGCCCTAGCCAGTTTGGCTCAGTGGATAGAGCATCGCTCTGAGGACTGAGAGGTCCTGGACTGAAAGGTCCCGGGTTTGATTCCCGTCAAGAGCATGTACCCCGGTTGCAGGCTCCTCCCTGGCCTAGGCCCTCGTTGGGGCTTGTGCAGAAGGCAACCAATCTATGGCTTTCCCTCTCTCTAAAAATTAATGGAAAAATATCCTTGGGGGGGGGGGGCGGTTGCTCCAGGTGTGCTCCCCACACACGCACCAGTGCGTAGAGACACAGATGCAAACCACAGATATACAGAATTAGGATTCACTCTCCAATTGAGGCCAAGAGAAAAAAAATGGCTTCGCCCTGCCTCCAGTAGGACTTAGGCCATGGGGAAGACTTTCCTGAAGTGTTGTTTAATCTGAAAGAGGGAATTAAGGGAGATTGTGAGGACATTTCTTTTTTTCTTTTATTTTTTTAGAGAGAGAGAGTGGAAGGAAGGGGGAGAGAAAGAGAGAGAGAGAGAGAGAGACATTGATTGGTTACCTCCCATACACACTCCAACCAGGGCTGGGGCTCAAACCTGCAACTGAGGTACGTGCCCTTGACCAGGAATCAAACCCTCAACCCTTTGTTCCGTGGGCCGACACTCCAACCACAGAGCCAAATAGAACAGGGCAGCAGCTTACTCTGTACTTAAAAGGAAGGCCCTCCCCCATCCCAATTATTTTATTGCACTTTATTCTTTTAGTGTGTATTCCTTCTGAACTTAAGCCATTAGATTCTGTTGTGGGTTGAATTGTGCCCCTTCTCCCCTCAGGGCCTCAGAATGACCTTATGTGGAGATAGGGCTGTTGTAGATGTAATCAGTTAAGATGAAGCCATGCTGGAGTTGAGCAGCCCTGAGCCAATGACTGGTGTCCTTATAAAAAGGGGACACCTGGACACAAACACAACTCAGGGAAAAGGCATGGAGAATATGAAGGCTCAGGTCGGGGTGGGTGCGGACAGGGTTAGGGAAGAGGCACCTGAGTCCCCAGATGTCCCGTCTCCAGACTGGTGAGACACATTTTCCTAAGTGCCTGGGCTGTGGTCCTCCGTTCCAGCAGCCCCGGGACACACATAGCTTCCACTGCCAAGTGTGCAAAACAGGGCAGCCCAGCCTGGCCAGTGTGGCTCAATGGTTGAGCACCAACCCATGAACCAGGAGGTCACGGTTTGATTCCCAGTCAGGGCATGTGCCCGAGTTGTGGATTCAATCCCCAGATCGGCATGCAAGAGGCAGCTGATCAATGACTCTCTCTCATCATTGATGTTTCTCTCTCCCTCTCCCTTCCTCTCTCTAAAAATTAATGGAAAAATATCCTTGGGGGGGGGGGCGGTTGCTCCAGGTGTGCTCCCCACACACGCACCAGTGCTCCTAACACATGCTTGGCTGATCCCAACCACCCACCAGCATGCTTCTGGGATAGAATTAGAAGAGAAGCTTGAGAATAAGACTGATTGAAGGGTCATGGATCATAGACTCCACAGAGAATACAGTATGTTTAAAGTATATTAGATGATATCAGAAGGAACAAAAAGCTTCCTTTTTAATCCTCATCCAACAATACTTTTTCCCCATTGATTTTTAGATAG